CATGACATTCAAAAAAACCCGTAATTTATGTACTAAATGTAAAAAATGTAAAAAACCTTATAACGTCACATTTCATCGTAAAGGGTGAAACCTCGTAGATCACACCCCGCGATGGTCATAAGTCACGAGGTTCGTACTTCGCGAGGACCATACGTCTCGAGGGTCACACCTCACCAGGGCCATACATCATGAGAGCACACATCTTGATGGCCATAACTCATTATTTATTGATCTCTGTTGAATTCTTGAAGTTTTTTTCAAGATTCAGTGGAACATTCTTCAACACTGAAAGAAAAATATAATTCTTTTGACTATATTCCATCACCATCGAATTATATTCAAAAAGTCCTCAACAATTTTTCATGGGTTACGGTAACTATGGCCAGAGAAGTAATTACTACAATGGAATGAAGTCATTGCAACTATTTTATAGTTCTCCCCACGATAGATTTGTCGTGGTTACTTTTGAACTTTGGTTAGTTTAGCTGCATTTTGATTTGCAAAAATTACGCTTGTGAAATTACTATAATGTTATGTACCGCATACAAAAAAAATCGTATCGTTCATCAAAATGCCTCAACTATTTTCTTATTGTAAATCGAACTTCAGATTTTTGTCTCAGTGAATCACAGAACTAATTCAATTATCTTTGGTAGCTGCTTCAAACTCTTCTGAAGAAAATAGTTCTTTGCCAATGATCCAACTGGGCTCATCCAGTGCTCCAAATAATAAAAGGAAGAATTCAATAAAGCTTATTAGATAATGAAATTGACTTTTTCACAATGGAGATGACTTGTAACTTTGGTCTTTTGTAACGTTTGATCCTTGTGAAATTAACCCTTTACGAGGTATGACCTTCATGTCTTTGTCCTCAAAATTGAAAATTCGAGGAATCGTCGAATGTTTTTGAAAACCATGACTGGCACCACATGAAGTAAAAACAATAGTTTATGTCCCAAGTACCAAAACCCGTATTTAAATCAAACGAAGTAAAGTGAGAATTCACGGTTTATCTGTCGTAGGAACATAATATATTTTTCTTTATGATATTCAAGTGCTCAAACGGGGCAATTTAAATATTATATCACACGATTACGAGGGAGGGGGGTTCGTAGTTTGTGACGCTTCGTGACGAAGGGGGGGAGGAAGGTCTTCAGGTTGTGACGTCACATCATCATTGTTAATCGAAGAGATCGCAAATGTTATTTTCTTCGCGGCCTGGTAACCAAACCTATAGGAAATCCTATAGGAGTTTTTCATACGCGATTGTACTGATTTTTTAATAAGCAGAGTTTTTAAAAACAACGCGGAAGATTGGAAGGAAATTCGTCCAAACAAAAGAGAAAATTCTTTGTGTAATTAAGAAAAAAAATTATCAAGTAGTTTGGAACGTTTTTTAAATTTCTAGACATTCCCCACCTTAGGGGATGATTTGCAATTGAAAAAAAAATTGTTTAATAATTTGAAATATAGAGTCCACATACGAATTTCTACATCTGCAACGGCAACCCTTTCAGTATTGATATTTAAAAAAAGGAGCGTTTTCACTCCCCTAAGGAATGAGTTTCTGAAAATTCACCCTTAGTGGGTATTTACGTCACCAATTCAACCTATAGACAAAAATTCATGTTGTTAGCTTAAATATTTTGGGCAGTGCATTTTTGAAAGAGTTTTATAAAATAGAATTGATTTATCTCCTTTGCGCAATTGAACTCTGGAAAATCGGGAGAATTGAGACATTTCAAGGTGATGAAGCGATGAAAATTTTAGAATTTTTTTTTGTTAAATAGTAGCTGAATGCTACCATCTTTGAGATTTGCAACGAAGTCATTAAATGAAACTCTTTATCAGTCGAGTGCGATGGTCAGCAAGGAAGATCCCATCGTCGATAATTCAGATTTCAATTACCAGCTAATGGAATCTACATTAGCATCAATTTACGAACTCCGAAATTTCCTGGATCCTCCTAATCACTGTTCCCGTAATGCTGACTCCAGCAATAGTTGTTCAGCCAATTTACGTATTTCGATAAACTCGAACTCTATCCTTTTCATGGTTCGCTCAATGGTCATTCAGAATATCGAAGATTCATAGTAATCCTCAGTTTTGTGTATTATAGAACCATTTAAAGAGTATTTCTTATAATTACACATTAGACGATCCATGATCCAGAATTTTACAGCTATCGAATAATCTACATTCCCGTACTCAACATTTTAGAATAAGCCCGATTACATCCGATATACATCCGAATATTTCATACTCTGAACATTTATCAATTCAATTTTCACTGTATTCGCTGTTACATATACCTAATTTTAATTATTTTCCACACGATAAGTTCTCGATAATCGTTGATTCTGACAAAAACATGGTCCAATTATTCATCACCTCTAACTTTTCACATTTGGAAAAATAGTATATTTCAGGGCGAGTGCCATGGGGTTTTTTACTCACGTGAAGTTGGCGTCCGAGCCGAAGGCTTATTAAATTAAATTAATTACATTAATACTTACTTACTTAATAATAATAAATTTCGAATTTTTCATGAATTTCCTTGATAGTGAGCTTTTTGATGATTTCTCCAAATGAGATGTTTAAAATTTATTCAAGTATGTATAAATATAATTTGTCTATTAACAGTTTATCGAAGGGCTGAGGGAAGAGACTGAATCGGTTGTATAGAAGAAAGGGATAATAAGAATAATGATGATGATAACAGTCAACTAAATTGAAAATCTGTCAAGATTAGTTAAAAAAAATCTTATTCAATTTAATAAAATGAAATAAACAATGAATTACACATGATAGAAGGAAATTATGTGCAAAATAACCATTCGAAAGCATATTGTTAATTTATTAGCAAAAATAACTAGGGAAGCTTGGGGTAAAATGGACACTTTTGACTTTTTTAAAAATGTTAATGACAGGTTGAAATGGTGATGAAATTCAATAACTTTTTTTTCAATAAAAAGAGTAATTCTTGCCCTTTGTGATGAGTCTAAACTGAGCTCCATTGATAAATTTATTTCTGAGTTATGAGTAATTAAAAAAAAAGTCTAAAGTGTCCATTTTATCCCACCCTCCCCTATACTGTATGCAATACAAGAGCAATTTCTCACTTCTTTTCATTCAAATCACTCGGATTCCATTAACATCCATTTAAAATTTTATTCTATACTTTATCTATATATGAATTATTAAAAAACTCCAGAAGAGTAGATCAAATTATTAGCGACTGACGACGTAACTGTCGTATTAACTGAATCAATTCGAATAAAACCGCTTAAAATCCCCAGACACCACGGCGCATTCCCCCCACTGCTCCAATGGCATTTTCCCGGATAAAAACACGTGCCAATCCTGTCAATTGTTCCACAAACTCCCTGGTTGATTGCAAAAAAATATGCAAGAATCATTAACATTAAACGCCGACCTCAGTTAATCATTCCCAATCAACAAAAAATCGTCAATTAAAAACCAGAGTTGAAAACCAGAATTTTTAGCAGAGATGTCAGACAAGCTATGAATGTTTTTTGGGCTCAAATGAAAGAGCGGGTCGAGAAATTGCGTGCTAATGTCTCTAAACATGACAAATGTCTCTAAAGATGATGTCTGTTTTCAATTGAAAAGCCGAGTTGTGACAACATTGTCCAGTAAGGTCTAGGAGTCTTCCCTGGTTCAAAACCATCTTTAAAGGCATTTGCACGCCATTTCTCGACCCAGAAAAAATCGCCAGCAATTTCCAACGGGGTGAGACTCAGCCGTTGACTGGCATAATCAAACATTGAAATCTTTCTTTTAAAATTCCATTAATTACTCTTCGATAAAATTATATAAATTCACAAGTTTATTTGCATTTTCAATTTTATTAAACCATTCAATGATATTAGATACATGTCTCAATTCAAATGAGACTGCGCTACGCAGTGTTAATTCAAGAGTCTACTTGGGATACATATGTGTGTAATTAACAGTGGACACCCGGGGGCCTATTCTCGAAATATTTCCGTGCACGGAAGTGGCTTCGTAAACGAATTGCGTATAGGAATCATATAGGCGTTCCGTCAACGGAGTCGATTCCGCGCACGGAAATATTTCGAGAATAGGCCCCCCGGTGAGAGTAGAATCGCGGACCTTGTTCGACGATCATGTGTGCTATAGTGGGACACATGGCGCCATCTCTAATTAATATCGACAAATAAAACGAATGCTATTTCTACTCTACCGACACTGTTTGGCCGACTGCAAGGATGGTGGACAGATGTGGTTATGGACAGTTTTTTTTATATAGGGGAGGATGGGGTAAAATGGACACTTTTGACTTTTTAAAAAATATTCATAACTCAGGGACAGATTTATCAATTGCGCCCAGTCTAAGTTCATCACAAAGAGGAATCATTGTTCTTTCTATTGAAAAATAAAATTATTCCGTTGCATGAACAATTCAATAAGTCATGGACATTTCAAAAAAAGTTAAAAGTGTCCACATTTTACCCCACCCTCCCCTACAGTTGAATTTATGTACAGTTGTTCCTCAGACTTTTCACAAGTCTATGCCCAGTCGGAGCCCTCCTGAGTTTTTTGTCCAGTTCACAAACTAATGGCGCCAGGTGGCTACGCACTTTTCAATGGATCAGACAAGGATCGGATGTATCTGACGATCTTTCTTCAATACGTTTGGCAAATGGAGGGGGTGATACCTTGCTGCCATCTGTTTCAGGTTTGCAAAAAGTCCCTAATTCAAATAGCATATCAAAGTTCTCACAAGAACACCTAAAAAAAAATTAACCATCCCATTACATAAATCGTTGGTATTTCTCATGCTTATGACCCCAACAACCTCACAAAGTTAGAAAACGCTAGCAACTCGACACTTTCCTCTCGAACAATGCGACCATCTGTCACCCGCCATATTCCCCTGCAACCAATCACAAACGGGCATTATCCCAAACCGGCAGCAACAGGGCGGAATTTAAACATTCTAAAATGGAGTTTGCTCAGTTTATCGTGTGACCGTTACAACGGATGCTGTACTTGGACTCTCGTCCCCCTAAAAAATGTAATCATCCAATCAACATCCCTCCAAAAAGTGTCAAAAACCCTTCGATAATCCCTCCAAAGTGTCGACATATCCTTAAAATCAGAAATAACCCCAAAATAAATAAATGAATAAACAATAAACAACTTGGACCTCTCGTGTTTACACCTCGTAAAATGCTGGCATTACCAAAGACACCGACAAAAATGGGTAAAGAAAAATTAGAATTAGCTGTCGCAGTTCGTAATAAGCGAAAGGAACGAGCTGAGACGTCAAAAAAATTATTAGAACTCCCAGACAAGCCTCACCCCTCCTCAAGCCTAATGCATCTCCCCAACGACAAGCTTGAACTTGCAGTCCAGCTCGAATGCAAAATGAAAGAGATTCAGGAGCAGCAGAGGAGAATGCTGGAGCTCCAGGACAAGATAAGTACAAATACTAGATTAACATTATCACGTGAGAGGTCAGAGTTGGCTGAGAAGCTCGAGAGGAACATGGAGGAGCTGGAGGAGCACCAGAAGAAGCTCCTAGAGCTTCACGAGCAGAATAATTATGATTCTCAGTTAACGACAAACCTTGAGCTTCAACTGGAAGAACGAATGGTCAAACTAGAAGCCTCCAATCGAGAGAGGGATAAGCTAGAACGCCAGTTGACATCCATGAAGTCGGAGCTAGCCTCAGTCCAGCGAACCCTGCAGCTGGAGAGACAGGAGAGAAAAGATCTGGAAGAAACAGCTCTGGGTTTGATCAGAAGTGCTAAACAAAAGTGGGAAGCTGCAGAGAAGGACAAACTCTCTAGATTGAACAAACATATCGAGACTCAGACTCTTCGTATTACCGAACTTTGTACCAGCAACAACGAGATGTCCTCCAAGCTTCAACGTGCCCAGTGTGACCTGGAGACTGCTAATGCAGAGTTGAAGAAATTGAGGAGCTTCCAGGCTCAGTACAAACAGTCATTAGCTAAAACTCGAGAGCTGCGACGTCAGAGTGTCCAGGGAGTTGAAAATAAACTGGAGGAGATATCAGTGAGGGCTCATAATCAGTTAGCAGAGGTGAGGCTGAAGCTGGAACAAGAAGTAGCTAAAAACACTGAACTAGAGAGTACTTTGAGGAACGAGAGGGACGCAAATCACTGTAAATTATCGAGACTAAATATGGCATTGGAACTTGCACAGTCCGAGCTGAAAGATCTCCAGGAACAACTGAGATCGACCCAGGCGATGATTCCAGCACGAGATCAAGAAATAGCAACCCTGAAGAACCAATTAAAAGAGAAATTGAATCAGATGGAGGGGATTCACATTGCTGAGCAGACAATCGCCCAACTCACTGAACAACTCGAGAAAGTTCAAATGGAAAATGAACAAATGAAGAATCAGCTGGAGTCTACGAGAAGCGACCTGAATGACACTTTATTAAACCTCAGAAGGAGTGAAAACATCGCTGATGATCTTGAGAAAACAGCCAAAGACAAAGCAGCTCTCCAGGAACGTCTTCAGGAGTCCAAAGCCAAGGAGGACGAGCAGTTACGGAAGGTCGATACCCTTGAAGAACTTCTCCAACGGCTCCAACAGAGTGTTGCTAAATTAGAATCAGAAAATGCAGTTCTCAAACGTTCTTCAAGCTCGATTCCCTCGGGCAGTCGAGTCTCCACCACCAGAGAAAATTCTCTTAAAATATCAGAGCTGGAGCAACAAATTGAACGACTGGAGAAACAATTGGAAACAGCTAGGGAGAATGCAGCAACAGAGCGTGAAGCAGCCCGCCAAGCCCAGCGATCACTCTGGAAGAAAGAGAAAGAACTATCAGACGCTAACTTGGACAAGAGAATAGCTCTGAGAGAAGCCAAGACGTCTGAAGAAAAGATAAAATCCTTGCAGGAGGAGAAACAACGCCTGACGGATCGATTGAATAAGAAGTACCAGGAGGAAGAGGAGAAAGCAAAGAAATTATTATTAGAACTTGAATCAGCAAAGTCTTCCCTCGCTGAGATCACTAAAGAGGCTTCAAGAAACAGGATGCAGGCAGATTCAGCCCAACGAGCCTTGACCCAAGCTAATAAACAGATCGAAGAGCTTCAATCCTCCTCTGCTGCTCTTCGAAGGGAGCTAGATGTTGCGAGAAAACAAGCTAGAACAAGTCAGGATAGGGTGGACAGCTTGAATGCCGAGAACAAACGTTTGACTTTCGCCATCTCCAAGCACAATGAAGCAAAGAGCACTTTGGACGCTAAACTGGAGGCGTTGGAGCAGGAAGCAAAGGCTGATAAAGTTAACATCGACTTGTTGAAAGAAACCTGCACAGTCCTTGAAGAGCAACTGACGGATTACGAAAGATTGACTAGTGACCACGAGACTAGAGAGAACACCCTAGTCCAGGAGAAGATCAGGCTGCAGAAGGAACTAGAAATCCTAGAGCAGAAGCTTAGAGAAGCAAAAATAGGGCAGAACGAGGAGAAATCCAAGAGATTAGTTTCTGAGAAAGCGATGCAGCGATTGGAATCAGAAACGAATGAAATCGAGACTGAGAGGGACAATTTACTGACCCAGAGGAACGAGTACAAGAAGCTGGCACAGGAGCTGAACCAGCAAGTTGCTTCATTGACATCCAAATGTGGAGAACTGGAATGTGACATTGGGGAGTTACAGAGAGCGTTGGAATCAGCACGCGCAGAGGCGATGATCGTTAAAGAAGAGAGCACAGACCACTTGACTCGTCTTCATGAGCTCAAGGACATCAATCAGGACCTGATGGCTGATCTCCAAAGCAGTATTGATCAAGGACAAGAGCTGAGGATCAGAATAGCAGAGTTGGAGAGTGTTCTTGAGGAGATGAGGCAGTTTTATAATGAACACGAGATGAAGTCTGAAGGGACGAGACAGCAGCAAACGAAATTAATTGATTATCTCCAGCTCAAACTGGAGGAATGCAGCAAGAAGAAGAAGACAGTTTGCGACAGGATATTCAGGACGAAGCAGAAGGATGCTGTGATTCCGACTGGTACAGGAATGCCAGTAGGGTACAGAGAGCTGGAGAACCAATTGACTCGAGAACGTGCCAAGGTGAAGGCTCTTACTGAACAGCTACTGGTGTTGAAGGCAGCAGCAGTTACATCAGCCCCAGTTTCACCTATTGGAGACTACAAATCTGCGGACTGCAAGACTCAGGACTCGAAGAAATATCAATTTACTGAGCAACCTGATGAGGTTTTATCCAGGCAGACATCACTGCAACGAGTTCGACATAATATTCCTCACAGGTTCAACGTGGAGTTATCAATGCGAGCTGGAAAGTGTGCGGCTTGTTTGGAACCCATTCAATTTGGAAAAAGGTCTGCTATCTGCAGTGAATGCCAAATAATGACTCATCTGAAGTGTTCTCTCCTGGTTCCTGCAAACTGTGGGCTTCCTGGAGGACTAACGAAACATTTAGGGAAGAGTTGGAAAGCCAGTGACGAGAGCATCTCCACCCTCAGTGGCAGCGTCCAGACGCTGACCATTGATGAGCCTGATCACGCTGAATTGGACTCCAAAAATATTCGGAAGACTGAAGGGGTCAGCATGGAGAGTTGGGTGAAAGTTCCAGGACGTGGGAAAGCATCTTGGGAACGTAAATATGTGAGACTTGAGGGCTCATGTGTCAATGTATACGAGCACGAACCCAGTCCAGGGATGTCATCAATCAGCAGGATGGAGCTGACTGATAAAAATGGTTTCACAGTGATCGAAGATGTTCATCAGGCTGAGGTACCTGGCACTGCAAAGTCTGACATTCCCTTCATCTTCAGGGTCGAGTCCAATACGTTCAACACCTGCTGGCCCACCAACAGACTCGACATCATGGCGTTGAGTCAAGTTGACAAGAAGAGCTGGCTGAATGCTTTGAAGTCCATGGCAAGTCAGAATGGAGTCAGAGGAGCTGCTAAGAACTCGATGGTGCAGAGTGTGGTGAGATTGGAGAAGAATAGGCTAGATTTAAACTGTGTGATGGAGCTTGAGGAGGAGGGAGTTTTGCTGATTGGTGCAGAGGAGGGATTGTACTCGTACAGACCTGCAGTCTCCAAGGTGCTCACTGCTATCAGAGGGGTCAAACGAGTTCATCAGTTGACGGTGCATCCTCATCTGGGTTTGGCGCTGATGATCGCTGGGGAGGACAGGCAGTTGGTGTCCTGTGATCTGAGACAGCTGAAGAATAATGCTCTTGCTGCTGATTGTTCAAGGCCTGCCATCAACACCAACAGGATTCTCGACCGATCTGAGAGCTGCCATCTATATCAAGTGGAAGGGGATCTACTGTGCGCTGCCACTACGTCTCAAGTTGTGTTGCTTCAGTGGAGAACTGATGAGGCTAATGGGAAATTTGTATCTATCAGGGAAATGGACACCCAGGAGCCCTGCAGTTGTGCTATCTTTACCAAGGATAATCTCATCGTGGGCTGCCAGAAGTTTTTCCAGATTGATCTGAAAGATTACGGGATTGATGACTTCCCTGAGGAGGATGACAGCTCGGTAAAGGCTGCACTTGCTGGCGTAGCGAGACTAGGGATCTTCCCGGTTGCTGTACTCAATGTGTCTTGTGGGAGTCAAGTGGAACTGCTACTGTGTTATAATGAGTTTGGAGTCTTCGTTAATGAGAATGGAAAGAGGACAAGGGCGGTCGATCCTACTTGGAGTCATTTGCCTTTTGCTTTTGGTAAGAAAATTTTCATTTTGTTTTATTTAAGGATATCCAAGTACTTTGACTATTTTTTCTCCAGTGAAATGTTCTTCTGCTTTTGTAGTCGAACATCAAAGTTTTCAACAATGACGTTTAATTTTAAAGATGACAGATATTTAACAATTATTTTATTGTTTAAACTTTGCAGGTCTGAACTTGAATCTCGATATAGAACCGTTAGAAAACATTTTAAAAATCGAAAAAAAAATCGAAAAAAATCGAAAGTTTACATTTGGAGAAAGATTCATGAAATAATTTTCAAATTACAATTTTTTAAAATTACGAGCCTTTTCTATAAATAATTTATAAACAATCAATTTTCAGCCATATAAATCATTTGCTCCGAATCGTAACAAATTTATTCATATTCTAAATTTTACCAGAAATCCACTTCATACCTAAGAAAATAAGGTTTCTGAAAGGGTAAACAATTCAAATTATTTATTTATAAACAACGAATGTTAAGAAAATTATCATCATGTGCAAAATGTAATGTGTATGACGCTGAATATTCATGATTTTTTTCAAATTTTTCTCACGCAATTTAATTGGCAAATTTGATGATTGAAAATTTTTGAATCTTTAGTTTGGTTTGTACTACACTGCAAAAGATCTTTGGATATCCTTATTAATTTTTAATGCAACGATGCTGAAAATATTTGAACAAATTAGTTTCAGAAATATATAAATCCATATTTTAACTTGGTGCAGTTTTTATAGTTCCAATTTCAGTACAATCATGACGATGGTGTAAATGAGAAGAATTAATTTTTTTAAAAAACAGTTTTTAGCAAAAAAAACTGCGCTCGCAAAAAAAGTCTTCCTAAAGATCCATCTATATTTTTTCGTTCTGGAAATATTCATCAGCAACTGTAGATTCGAAGATCAGCCGATTAATTTTCTTGTTACTTTACAACTGGAAGTATAACATCGAACTATAGAATTTTTCTTTTTTATGAAATCAGTTGTTCATTTAATTTCTTATTCTTTAATAAGCCTCTTTGAAATTTTTTGATAATAATTTTCACAATGAAAAACATTATTCTATTTTTATGTAGGAAAAGTTCTGGGAAAAAAAGAAACCAATAAGATCTAAAATAATTATCCAAACGGATAACATTCAACTTGATTTTGCAATCGATAAAATACACTAATGATTTATTTCTCTGGGTTGTTACAGCATTCAGAAAGCCTTACCTCTTCATCGTCCACTTTTCATCGGTTGAGGTAATAAAACTGACATCAGAGACCTTCAGATCAACCACAAAAAATCCAGAAAGAGCTCTGATTGATTTGAACAATCCGAGATATTTGGGTCTCGCTGGATCCAGGGGAATCTACGTTGCTGTGATAAATTCTACCCTGGACATTCAGAGAATTGACGGTGTTGCTTCCATCCTGTCCAGAATGAGCGACAGTTTAAGCAGTTTGGATTCACTCTGTAATAATGACAATGACGACAGCAGTTCAGAGTTCAGTTTCACGCCAAGTCTCATGGAGACCTTGGACAATCCTTCCAAGAGGGTGCACTTTGCTGACCCCAGAGACCACTAATGAGTTTTATTTTTATTAAATTCATTTTATTAGTCAGGACTTGATTATTTGTTTAAATCTCTAGACTATTTCTACAGTAGATCGTCGCACATTACATGTCAATTATTTTGTAAATATTCCAGAAACTAATGGATGGAGAGAAAAGTGTGGAAAGACCATTTTTGAGACAATTTTCATGAAAGAGTTTTTCGACATTTTTCGTTAAACCTACCAAGTTCAGACATATTTACCAAATACATGTAGATATCATACATGAAAATATCGCTGAAACTAGTAGGTTCAGAAAAAAATTCAAAAGCACCTTTTTTGTGGATAATTATTTTTCCCCCAAAAAAATATTCTCTGAGATCAGCTTCTAAGCCCACTGATTTTTTAGATATTCTTCACTTATAATTTCACTACCAATTCATTCATCGATAGCTTTGATTAAAGAGATTTCTCTGGTCATTGACCACAATTCGTTTCAAGTTCTCCTTGCCATAAAAGTATAATTTTTATTTAAAAAAATTGTGGTATTTATTTAACATATGTGTTTGAGATAACAGAGTATTTTCCTTACTGTTCGTAATACTACCGGATGAGGCGTAGACGTACTTATAATTTAATTATATGAAAATTCAAGTAGTATTCTCAGTCCAAATGTAATTCTTTGATTAAGTAAAATGAGTGAATGAGTGCACTCACATTGTTTTAACAGTTTTGCATTATTTTTTAGATAAAAAATAGATAAATAATGACATTTTTATTTCATTAAAATGTTAAGACCATTCATGAAGTCATTGGTTGAATTCATTTCCCGGTACAATAATAATTTTTCATCACATTTTGAATTATTTCCTATTCCACTTCTCAGTTAATCTTAGTCACAAAGTACATAATAGAATAGTTATAATATATTTATCGTGGAAAAAAGAAATGATTTTTGATAAATAAAGATTTGTAATATACGTCATGCTGTGAATGTCATTCAATTGATGTTCACATTAAATTTATCCTTATTCTTGCGTCGAATCCCAAATTTTCGTTTCAATCAGCGGATATTACATGACTGATGACAGTGTTGCATTCTTCATTGACATGATTTGTTAATGTATTCACAAAAGGCAGTTATCAATTCAATCAAATTTTCAGTTTTAAACAAACGTTTGCTCACGAAAAATTCTATCATGAGGGGAATGAGTAATAAAGTGCAAAATTGAAATTTCTGTCATGATTTTAATTTTCCAGAAAATAAAAAAAATACATGAACAAATGAAAAGATAATTGAGTGAGATTTCTTATGAATTAGGGATCATAAAATAAATCAGCGAAATCCTCATTACAAATTCAATTTTTTAGGAGTCAGTACACATGTTTGGTCTAGAAATTTTTCATCATTGGAGAAAGAAAGCATATTATATGATTTTTTTTAACCAACTAGAGAGCATTTAATCCCGATTAGCATACGCATAATCTATGCAGAGTAATGCGACATCCGGCAACCCCTGACACTGAGCTATATCGGAGAATATTCATTGGGAACACACTATTAAAAAATCGTTTTTTTTTCAACGCACTAAGAGAATCGATTTGTTGTTGAACGATAACCAAGTTCAATGTCCTGGAAAGAATATTTCCATCGCTGTCTTATCCAATTATTTCCTCCTTCGCTGCACTATTGACGTACGTGGGACTTCCAATTCCACCTAAACGTATAAAACACTTTCCTGTTTATTCTTTTCGGCACCAATTTAGTCGTTGAAGTATTAGAATTTTAAATATATAAACTATTCAACAAATGATCATCAGAAAAATTCAATGGGGAGCTGTCTGCATTGAATCGGTAAAATGTAATGAACCGAATTTAAATTTTCATTGATTATACATTTACCTCAGAAACAAGGGGTCCCTCAGAAATATATCAATTCATTTTTTATGCTGGCAATTTCTTGTAGAAAAGGTCTCAAGAGAGAGAAGAGAGTAGTGGGGAGGGGGCGAGGGAGGGAGGGAGGAGTGAGCCTAGTAAAGGGAGCGAGTCACGGATGAAAAAATTTAATAGAACAACCAGCGAATTCGCTAGACAATTCTATTGGATTTCTATTGAGGTTTCTATTAGTTTTTGGCCGATTCTATTTAAACTTTCAATAGAAAATATTCTAACTCGACTTCAAACTCGACATCCGCACGGTGTGACACAAAATATTATACATCACTCAGGCATAAACTTTGTTTTCAACGAATGTAAAAACGAAAATTCGTGCCCTTGTACTCTAACGTACAATTGTTTGATTTTCTTGATGAGAAGAAAAGAAAAATACAATGAAAAAAAATTAAATATCTGAGCCGAAGAAATTCCATAGAAAATTTCGGAAGAGAATAAGTTATGTAGAAATTTCTTATCTAATTCTATTGACTTTTTCTATTGAACATTTCAATGTTGAATCAAATCGATAAAAAACTAATAGAAAGTTTAATAGAAATCCAATTGAATTTCCTAACGAATTCGCCAAGGTTTTCTATTAATTTTTTTCGTGCGTAGTGTGCGAGTGACGCAACAAGTAATGAGTTCTTTAGGGGGAGGTTTACACCAGGAATAAAACTTTTTGGTTTTTCAAGAAAAAATATTATTTTCCACGTGATTTTCAGCCAGGAATCTGATTTTATCGGTCAAAATTATCTGCGGTCACTCAAAATTAGGAATTCAAATTTTTTTAATTGAAATGTGAACTTAACAAAAATCCCCAGTGTATTTTTTTTTCAAATGGTTTTTTGAATATGATCATGAATTTTTTCTCCTCAATTATAAAAAATGCGGGAGAAGATACATTTTTGAATTTATTTGTTAATCAATATTTCTATTAATATCTCAAGAGGAAAAAAAATTACTTGTCTGAATATTACGTATAAACTTATAAGCATTTATTAATGCAAACTCTATGTTTAGGGGTCCTCATACATGTACCTAGTCTTTTATTACACAGTAATCCAGATTTCGCCAGGGCACTTCCTCCCTAAAATTCGGACGGGTGCATTTTTTTCTACGGTTTCCATTAATTTTCCATTCTTATTGGGAAAATTCATTCATTCTATTCATTCTCGTAAAAAATTGCGAGAATATAATCGATGCGGTGGAAATAACGACATTTTTTGGTTGACCAACAAACTTGAAAATGTATCTTCTCCCGCATTTTTCATAATTAAGCACCGGAAATTTGTGATTATGTATTAAAAAAACCATTTTAAAAAATACGTTGGGGATTTTTGAAAGCTGTTTTTTCCATTCAAAAAAATTTGAATCTTTAATGTTTAGCGGTCGGCGAAAAATTTGACCTACAAAATAAAATTTCTGAGGAAAAATCACGAAGAAAATACTGATTTAAAATTTTTTTTCTCGAAAAATCAAAAAGTTTTTATCCCGTGAACCTCTCCTCAAGTTGTATCTTTCATTCATTATGCTTCATGATAAATCGTTAACATTCCAAAGAACAGTTTGAGTTAATTGCCCGGGGGTTTACTTAATTTTCTATCAGACTTCAAACGTAATTCAGTTAATTTTACTCAGTATTTCGATAATTCCTGGAATTTTTCAATTCTAAAATCTAAAAAGAAGAGCTGTGGACTATAAAGTTTTCATTACAGAGCGTTGAAACTACATAACTTAATTTTCCATCTAAATAAATTTCTGTGAAGGGGAACCTGAGCTGGAATTAAAGACGAAAAGAGTAAAAATATCGGCTTTTCAACAGTTTTTTTTGAGGCAATGGAAACTGAGGTCCAAGGAAAATTTTTAGAGGTAAAAGCTTGAAAGACTACGTTTATCGGTGGAGTTCGGACAAAATTGAATGAGTTAATATGTATTAAAAGATTTTTAATAGCTCTCCAGATCAATTGAAGAATTGCTAGCCTACCGCTCTCCTTTGAAATAATTTAGTTTTTTTAAATAAGAAATCAGAAATAAAGAATTTTGGAAGTAGTCAATCGATTTAAGCCTATTTTATTATGAAGTTCATCCTCAATGAATACCTTGACATCTACGGGAGATACGTTGTTGAAAATTTTTGGATGAAAATTTGGGTACACTTCTTTTGGGGAAAATTTTATTAATTGACACTTTCACTTAAATTACAAAGAATTTTGTCACTGAAACTTCATAATTTGATGAAAAATCAATGACAACTTTAAATTTCAGTAACTTTCAAGGCATTGAGAATTCAAGCCAATTTCATATCAGATCTTCATGTTTTAATTGAAAATTTAAGTAAATTTCGGAATTCTCACCTGTTACTAAAAAATTTAGAGCTCTATTGAATTTTCCGTGAAATTTAAATTTTCATTATTTTCCCCCCTAAATTAAATTCAGTGTCACCCTCCTGAAAATTACTACTGCACTGTGCATGAAAGTTAATTTCTTTTCCATGAATACAGCAAACTTTTATCAGGGATCTGCTTTGCCGAAAAAAATGGGAACTAAAAAAGAAATCCTCTCGACAATTCCTCTTGCCTCTTAGATTCCGAGATATTTCACTAAAACTCCCCAAGAAACAAAGTTGACGTAAGACGATTGACCACTTCACTACTGAGTCACAATTGAACGAATAAAATATTGAGATCATCCTCGTTCTTCAAACACTTCAACGAAATGAAATTGCCTACCTATTCTAAAATTTGGGAAATTCTAAAGCAATTCTGCTTTAACAGAATCCCTATCTTATCCCGACCCGCAATTCTAATTAAACACTCTTCATGAAACAAAGGTCACATTGAAATTTGATTTCTATTCAAATAAGTTCAGTGGAAATCGTAAAAGGTATGGAGTTGACCCAAGAGGGTCAATCGTTCTCTCGATGAAGGAATCGAAAAGATAGTGGGAGAAACCGCTGTTATAAAAACCCCTGGGACATACTGAATCGAGCTATTGTGTCAGTCCCCCTCATTCAGGGTGCCTGTTGGGGAAAGTTAACATACTTTTATTTTCAACAAAAAATCCCCATCAAAGCCCCGAAATCATCCTTAACAATTCCGTCAACGTCTATTACAAGTGAAAAGTGCGAATTTTCATCAAGTGTATTTCTCCATCATCACAAATAGAACCGAGAATTATTTAATTATTCAAGTCATCTGGGTGAACTGATAGTGTTTTTGAGTTTATATTGTGAAAGCCAAGAAGGAACAAGGAGAATGGCGACGAAAGAGGAACCTCGTCACTACGATCCCTTTCTCAAGGCTCCTGTAGATCCTGGGGAAGAGATCGTAATATCCGGAATGTCTGGAAGATTTCCAGAGTCTGATAATATGAGACTATTCACTGAGAACCTCATGAATAAAGTCGATCTTGTGACTGATGATGGACGTCGTTGGAAATTAGGTAAATGAATGCAAATGTAATTCATCTAAATTTTGAAATTAATAGTAATTTATAAACTAATCAACTATCAATAATGACAGTTCATAACTAAATTTGCGAACCTGAATTGTTCACTATTTCCTGTTGATAATTATTGCATAATGCGAATTGAATGTGAATTTTCATAGATTCAAGGATTCTATTGACGCATGCACTCATTTTCTCTTCGATTTTTACATCGGTAATTCAGTTTGAGGGTTCAATTAAGTCGCGATGACAAAGTCACAGCCGGTCGGTCTATTTATGTTTCCGAATAGGTGAATTTATTCACCGGTCTTTTATGCTGATTACCCTTCTAGAATAATGGTTTTTTTCTTCCAATTTTTCACAGATCATCCGGAAATTCCCCAGAGAACTGGAAAGATTAATAATGTCTCGAAATTCGATGCCCTTTTCTTCGGGGTGCACTTCAAACAGGCGCACACTATGGATCCAATGTGTAGGATGTTGTTGGAGCATGCTTATGAAGCTATCGTCGATGCTGGAGTCAATCCGAGGCAGTTGAGAGGGACTAGGACGGGGGTTTTTATCGGCGCGTGCTTCTCTGAGTCTGAGAAGACGTGGTTCTATGAGAAGCTCCAGGTAAACAGCGATTTTCATTATTTTTTCATGCCAAAAAAATACTATGAAAAAAAATTGGGGAAGATTACGATTCCCCTGACGCCGCTATTTGTCATATGTTTTCCGTACCATTTTTCTTCAGGAATGTGGGAAAAATAAAGGAAAAATTCCTTCTTAATTAGTTTTTGCGATATGAACTTTTCAATCCTTATTTTTTTTAAATACGAACATTTCCATGAAGCTTTTTATACTTGAGTCCCCAATTCATACACTCACATTCCCACATTTGAATTCAATCTTTATATCTACAACCTCAAAAGAACAAAACTCAATTTTAATAAAAAAAATTTTGACGTGGATACGTCTGTGGTTTCAATATGGGGGGTAATTTTGGGAAACGGTCCTTATGTGCAGCGCCATCTATCAGAAGTCTAGAAAATTCTAGACGTTTCGAGGTAATTCGAGAAGTTTCTTGAAATTTCGAAAAAATTCAAGGAGTTTCTAGAAATTCCGAGGAAATTCAGGGAGTTTCTAGAAAATTCGAGGGAATTCAAGGAGTTTCTAGAAAATTCTAAAGAATTCAAGGAGTTTCCAGAAAATTCGAGGGAATGCAAGGAGTTTCTAGGAAATTCGAGAAAGAAGGATATCCGGCTGTATCGAAGATACAGCCGCCTGCAATTGTTTGGTTGAAGATTTTTTCGTCTGAATTTTTTTCCTGCAAAAATTGCAACAACAATCGAAGAAATTCAGTGAACGAAATCTTCAACAAACAATTTTCAGTCAAAAACGCATTTGACCAAGGCAGTGTTATCCTTGTGACCCTCGTGACCCTAGCGACTCCTTTTTTGACACTCTTGGGACCTCACTTTAACCCTTCGCTGGCCGCGCAAAAGTTACGAACGCCGATATAATCATAAATTTGAAAGATCTATGCAAAGTCTGAAAAAAATCAAGAGTAATCTAGATCGTATACTTGAAGAAGTCCCGTGAGATTTTTCATATTCAGTGTTACCCTTACTTATATATTCAAACTCAAAGTTGCCATGTTTTTCTGAAAATTCGCTTTATACACGGTACACGGCCCGCATGTTCGGAATAAAAATTTGAAAATCTAACTACTTATGACACTTTTGACGGATATTTTCATTGATAGGGCTTCTAGACACTTCAAAATGAGATGTCAAATTTTTTCAAAATTTTTCTGAGGCTTACTGTAATTTAAAAAATTGGAAAAAGTGCGGCGCGACCGACCGAGAGCGCCCGATGCATAATTGACAAGTCCCGGGTTCAAATGCCGGTCTGGATGGTCTGAACTATCCAATTTTTTAAATAAATTATTCTTGTAAATGAATATTGATGATTATCCTTTTCTACCTACTCCAAAATCCTGTCCAACAATATCCTGTCACGTCACAAGATGTGGCACGTTATATAAACTTCCGTCTTCTATGAACAATCTCCATAATTGGGGAGAAATGATGGAGTTGGAATTTTTTCATTATTTTTCCCGTAATCCTGGGGAAAAATGGTATGGAAAACATGTTAAATCATGGCGCCAAAGGAATCATAATCATGCCAAAAATTGGTTACACTGTTAAAAATTTCTAGTTTTAGGTAGAATTCAAGGTAATTAATGAGTTTTAAGTGGGAGTGAGATAGAAATTTTACAATTCGATTGAATTTTCAGTGGAACATGAATATTCAGAAACAAAATAACATGAATTTTCAATTTTTCCCTGAATTTTCCAGAAGTTTCATAAAATAATTGAATTGAAAAATCAAGAATATTATCAATTTTTAAATCATTTGAACAGAAAATCAATGGAAAATTTGATTTTTCAATGACAAAATTTCCTGAAATTTCAGTGTAACTTGAACACGATAAAAATTTCGGGAATTTGGCACGGAAAATTCAGACGAAAATTTTCAACAGTGTATTCATACTGCGGAATTTCTATAAGAGAAGTATCCATTGAATAAATGTTATAGAAAGATAAAAATTCATTAATTTTATCTATAAAATATTGCCCCATTGAATATTTTTCTATGAAGAAAAAATGTACAAAAACTAGAAAAAATAGAATTGTAAATACAAAGACAATGGTAGTGCAATAGAATTTCCAAGAAATACGCTAAGCTTTTGCATGAGATGTTCTTGAGACGATTAATTTTTCTTTCGTGCACAGGTTAACGGTTTTGGTATCACTGGATGCAGCAGAGCCATGTTGGCGAATCGTGTGTCCTACTGGCTTGGAATAACAGGACCAAGTTACACCGTGGATTCTGCCTGCAGTTCGAGTCTCTTCGCCATGGAGCATGCATACAGAGCGATCAGAAACGGCCAGTGTGATGCTGCGATAGTTGGCGGTGCTAATCTCTGTTTGCATCCTTATGTGTCTCTGCAGTTTTCACGTTTAGGTAAATAACACGACAAGGGACACGTATGAGAAAATCGTCTACAAATTTTCTATACGGATTGAGTATAGAAATTCTATAGGATTTTCGTATATGATATTCGGATATTTCTACACGGATATTTTTTATAGAAATTATTTCTATACGATTTCGATAGGTTTGATCCTATACGACCCACTGCCACATGTATAGAAACATTTCGTATGAAGTTGCGAGATTTCTCTACGTTTTTCTCTGCAGCGTTTAGACATCTTTCATATGAAAACAAAAATTTACGTAAAAATTTATATATAGAAATAATTCGTATAGAAAATTTCTATACGATTTTTTCTCACGTGGAGAAGACGTCACTCAAGGTAAAATTGAACAGAAAACCCTAGCGCATTCGGTAGGGAATTGTATTGAACTTCTATTGCAAATTCTACTATTTCTTTCGCTGATGCTATTAGAAAATTGAACAGCAGTTTCGCACGAACATCGGGGAAGCTTCTGGAAAACTGAAGAATTATTTAGAACGATAAAAAATCCTCTGGAAAATTCGGAAATCATTTGGACAACTCTCCAAGTGATCAATCCTGGCGAAATTTCTGTTAATATATTTCAGAAAATTTCAGCATTTTCTAGGACCTTCTAAGGGGTTCCAAATGTTTCTAGGATTGTTTGAAATTTCTCCAGATATTCCAGAAAATTCCGGAATTTTTGAGAACTTTTCAAAAATTTTGCAGTCAATTTCAAAACTTTTGAGGGGAGACCCAGGTGAAATTTAAAAGTCTTCGGTTGATAGAAATAAGTATCGAGCGACTTTTGATAATATGAATAGTTGAACATCAAAATAGTATATAAATGATGTTTTCCGGAGAAAATTTGTTATGTTCAACTACTCAAAATAACGGTTTTTATACAACAAAATAATTAAAAAAAAAAATTTTTATATGATTTAAGGATAATTGGGCGAGAAGGAAATGTAGGAGGTGAGACGGAGGGGTTTCTATTGTTTTCCTGCAGAAAACCAATCGCTGAACAAAAAAATTTTTCCCATTCGGATAAAAAATTCAGGCAATATTAGGGAGTATCTTCGGTTAAAAATTATTTTTGGAGCTAATCAAATTTATTTGTATCTGTTCCACGCATTGAATGGTTTTCAGATTGTTTTTTTTTTATAAATAAAAAAATATTAATCCATGTGAAAAAGTGGCAACATCGTCGATAGTTTTTTTTTCACCAGGAGCTGGAGTCTCCAAAAATTATGATTGTACAATCAAAAAAACGTTGAAAAAAAGCTGAACATTTTCAAAGAGCGGTTTTGAATAATATTGGGAAATAATCCCAATAGGGAGGGAATTGTAATTGTACTATGATAAATCCAATGATGATCCATTCATTATTTCCTCTCTATCTGACTTATTTCTTAATCTTTATTAAAAACGCTCTTTGAAAATGTTCAGTTTTTTTCTACTTTTTTTGAGTGTACAATCAAAATTTTTAGGGACTCTCGGGTGATGTAAAATCCAATGGAAATTGTAATACAGTTTAGATTATGAAGATGGAAAAACAATCGAGATAACGTTCGAAATATAGTCCACCCGGGCCTTAATTAAGATAATCGAAAAAAATACTTAATTTTATTCTATGGAATCTAACCAACATTTTGAAAAAAGAAAAGTTTGAATCGGATGAAAATTGTGGTGCGAAGAGCATTTCAAAGCCAAAAACAGAAAAAACGACGTTTTCGCCTGATGTACGGCGTAAAATAGGTTGGGTATGAAATTTTTCTTATTTTTTTAGGTATCCCATGATATATCAAAAGTCGCTCGATAGTTATTTTCATAATCAAGACTTTTAATTTTCACCTGGCTCATCATAATTAGAAATAGTTTGAAACTATCGCAATGTTCTAGGTGTTTTGGCTCCCGACGGCCGTTGTAAATCCTTCGATGCTGAGGCCAACGGTTACACAAGAAGTGAAACCGTTAGTGTAGCATTCCTCCAAAAATCCAAGGATGCAAGACGTATTTACGCAACTGTTATCCACGGAAAAACCAACTGTGATGGATTCAAAGAGCAGGGAATAACATTCCCCTCAAGTGTTATGCAGAGCGCTCTGCTGAAAGAGTTCTACGAAGAGTGCAAAGTGCCACCATCATCATTATCGTACATTGAGGCCCACGGTACTGGGACGAAAGTCGGAGACCCTGAAGAGTTAAATGCAATTGAATCTGTCTTCTGTCAGGGGAGGAAAGAGCCTCTGATGATTGGCTCCGTGAAATCGAACCTCGGCCACGCCGAGCCGGCCAGTGGAATGGGTCAAATAGCTAAAGTAGTCATCGCTAATGAAACTGGTGTGATTCCACCGAATCTACACTACAATCGACCGCGTGAGGGTGTAAAGGCTCTTGAGGAAGGAAGAATAGTAGTTGTTTCTGAACCAACACCGTGGAAAGGTGGATACGTTGGAGTCAGTTCGTTTGGTTTTGGTGGTGCTAATGCTCATATTCTTCTCAAGTCAAATCCTAAGGAGAAGATTAATGGTGGAGCGCCACAAGATGATCTTCCTCGGCTTGTGGTTGCGTCTGGGAGGACTGAGGAGGCTGTTAATTCTATTTTGACAGATGTAAGTAATTCCTATGGCTATAGTATATTTCATTAGGCTGAAAAAAAATTTTCTGGCGAATATGAGGTTTGCAGCACGAGCCGAAGGCGAGGGCTGCAATCATATTCGTCAGAATTTTTTTTTTTTGCCGTATTACGAACAATATTTTTTGTCATGACGGCCGTAGGCAGAGATTCACGGACGCGGGGCGAAACGGAGCGTCCGTGAAACGCTGACTTACGGCCGGAATGACAAAAAAAAATTTAGTAAAACTTGCGTATTTTATTTTTTTTTGAAAATCTGTCAATTTTCTTGAATTTCTCCGATTAAAAAAGTGTTTTGTAACTGTTCGAAGTGGAAATTAAGAATCTATGAAGTTTGAAAAATGAAATCATTGCTTGAATTATTCAATAATCTATTGAGAAATTGGATTAAATGAGGGTTCGAACGAAAAATTGTCGAGGTACTTAGAAATATGCACCCAGTATAAGACGACTCCTCTTCAGAATGGGTTTTTGATGAGTATGTTCGGGACTCTACGGGAGATAGGGAAATTTTCCAAAGAAAATTTTTGAAAAACCTTAAAAGCTCAAGAAAGAAAGTATCTACAGAAATTTTGCTATCCCCCTTCAATTCCTAGATATTGACGAAAAACCAGTCTAGTTGATATTAACTCATCTCGTCTCTTCTACTCGAATGAAAATAAGAAATATCTTCTTTCTTATAACTTCACGTATGACAAAATTTCATAGAAAAAGCGAATTTGCTGAAAAATTCTATTGAATTTCCATTCAATTTTCTATCAGTTTTTGGCCGATTCTATTGGATTGTTCAATACAAAATATTCTACAGAAAAAATCAATCGAATTCGGTTTTTCTATACAACTTATTCTGAGATATTTTTTATAAAATTTCCTCGGCTCAAATTTTCTAGGATTTTTTGTTTTATTTTCTTGATGGAAAGAATAGAAAAGAAACAGAAAAAAAAACTTGGAAAATTTTAGCCGAGGAAATTCTATAGAAAATATCTCAATAGAATCAATTGTATCGAAAAATGGAATTCTATTGACTTTCTATACAATATTTTCTGTTGAACATTTCAGTTGAATCGGCCAAAAACTAATATGAAGTTCAACAGAAATCCAATAGAATGGTCTAGCGGATTCGCTAGGTTTTTCTATTAAATTTTTCGTGCGTGTTGTAATTCTTCCAATTGAATTAAGGTCGAGAGTCGCCCAGTGGACGTAGAATTCGTCCGTTTGCTCCATGAGATCTACACCGAGGACATCTCAGGTCATCTTTATCGAGGCTACACAGTCCTGGGCACTGCCAATCCCGATAAGAAGATTCGAGACATCGAGCATTATCCAGGAGCCAAGCGCCCAGTCTGGTTCGTTTTCTCAGGAATGGGTTCTCAGTGGCCAACTATGGGCGCATCCCTCCTTCGTCTCCCAGTCTTCGCGAATGCCATAAAGAAATGCGATGCTGTTCTCAAACCACGTGGAGTAGATATCTACAACATCCTGACAAATCCCGACAAATCAACCTTCGATAACATCTTGAATTCCTTCGTCGGAATAGCTGCCGTGCAGATTGGCCTGGTCGATGTGCTAACAACACTCGGAATAGTCCCTGATGCAATAATTGGGCACTCAGTGGGGGAGCTGGGATGTGCTTATGCAGACGGTTGCTTCACAGCTGAGCAGATGGTCCTGGCTGCATATTCCCGAGGTCTAGCATCGATTGAAACTGATACAATAAAAGGTTCAATGGCAGCCGTTGGTCTCGGTTATGAAGACGTCAAGGATCTCTGTCCACCAGACATCGAAGTAGCTTGTCACAATGGCCCTGAGAGCTCCACCATCAGTGGACCAGCAGATTCAATGAAAGAATTCGTCGCTAAACTCACTGCAAACAAGATATTCGCTCGAGAAGTTCCATGCAGCAACATTGCTTATCACAGCAGATACATCGCTGCGGCTGGACCAAGATTGCTGGCTTACCTGAAGGAATTCATCCCAGACCCTAAACCCAGGAGTGCCAAGTGGTTCAGCACATCTGTACCGCGATCGCAGTGGGGCTCACCTCAGGCGAAGCTTTCTTCTGCTGAATATCATACAAACAATCTTCTCTCTTCTGTTCTCTTTGAAGAGACATCTGCACTCATTCCTAAAGACGCTGTTACCATTGAAATCGCACCTCATGGGCTTCTTCAAGCCATTCTGAAGAGGTCACTCAATCCTGGAGTGAGCAATATTGCTCTTACCCAACGTGGACACAAGGACAATGTCGAAGTCTTCCTTCAGGCTATGGGCAAACTTTATGATGTTGGATTGCAGCCAATCATTAGTAATTTGTATCCCGAGGTGACGTTCCCGGTGTCCAGGGGGACTCCCATGATATCGCCACTCGTCAAGTGGGAACATTCTGATGATTGGTATGTCACTTCGTACAGGATGCAGGAGAAGATCACCTCTGGAGAAAGAATCGTGGAGCTAACGCTCGCTGATGAAGATTATGAGTATATGTCGGGGCATATTATTGACGGGAGGAATCTCCTGCCTGCCACCGGGTATTTAGCACTCATCTGGGAGACTATGGGGATGATGAGGGGAGAGATGTACACTGAGGTGCCTATTGTCTTCGAAGATGTCAAGTTCCTCAGGGCTACTACGGTCTCTAAGGAGTCTTTGGAGATCACTTTGATGGTTCAGAAAGGTAAAATTATTATCTTTCGATATGGTCACTTTAATTATTGATCGTTACATTTATTCAAATAGAGATTTTTTTTCATGTTTTTCGACTCTCATTGCGTGCGTGTTGAGATCAGTTTAAATGATTCATAATTCATAATGACTGTGTTTTTAAGGAACTGGAAGATTTGAAGTCGTTGAGGGAGGAGTAGCAGTCGTCACCGGATTCGTTCGTCATACGCCAAATCCCCAGCAAGAACAAATAAGTTTCCCTCATGCTAGTGATGATGTGGAGGAAGAGATGGAGAAGAAAGACGTTTATAAGGAGCTCAGACTACGGGGGTATCAGTACTCTGGATTGTTCAAGGGCATCAAGAGTTCCACCGCGGATGGATCCAAAGGAACCCTCGTTTGGGCGAATAACTGGGTGACCTTCATGGACAACATGCTGCAAATGAAGATTCTCGGAACGGACACGCGTAATCTTCTGGTACCCACTGCCATTCAGAAGCTGACGATTGATACTAAGACACATCTGCAACAGATTCGTGATATGCCAGATGAAAACAAAGGTAATTCACCATTCTTCCAAGTAGTAAGCTGAATTTATTTGAGGTAATCATTGAGACGAAAGTGATTGATATTGTGAAGTGGTCTGGACGATTTTTAATTTTTGGTGTTCAACAGTTGTGAGTGATTTTTTTCAACTATTCGATTTTCAATTAGTTTTATTTAAAAATCGAAAAAACTTTACACATACAAAATAGTATAGTACCTGCAGAAGGCGCACTCAGTCGAAATACTACACGCACGAAAAAATTTAGTAGAAAACCCTAGTGAATTCGCCAGACCATTCTATTGGATTTCTATTGAACGTTCTATTAATTCATGGCGAATGCTACTGAAATGTTCAATAGAAATTATTCTATAGAATAAGTCAACAGAATTGCATTTTTCTATAGGGGAGAGTAGGCCAAAATTGTACATGGGGTAAAACGAAACAGTCGAAAAACGACTATTTGACGCAATTCAAGCAAAAAAATTAGTTTTTATCAATTTTTTTTACTATTGGGAGTACTAATGAGAATAATAATTTTCTGTTCGGTACAAAAAAAACATGCGGTGCTAAAAAATCACTAAAAAATCAGGCCCGCTCGCGCGCTTTGCGCGCTCGCTTTTTGGGGTGTAATCGGTAGAGGTGGGTGGAATTGGGTGTGACCCATTACAGGTCGAACCAATAACTTCCCGACCGATTCCCATTTGTCTGTTCATCAGAACAAAAAACGCAAATTTTGAAATTTCCGTCTTGATAACTACAAAACGGCTGAGACGATTTTACTTGGCATTCGCATAAAATCGAATTATATAAAGATGCATCGATTGCATGAGCAGGAATCAAATCCCATCATTTTTCTACGTAGAATTATTGAATTTTCAAAAAAAAAACTTTTTTTTTTCATTTTTCATATGTTTTATGCAAATAACTAACAAACTGCTGAGGCGATCTGTCTCATAATCTACTCGTTCTAAGTTACATTGACACGCATCAATTGAAAGAAAATGATTGGTCAGAAACACAACATTGGAACATGCACTGTCGCAACCTGAATATCTGGTAACCAGATGGCCCATGATTGACACAAAGAATAGGCTCTATGGACAATGTAACGCTCTATCCTATTGATTGCCGCGTGGAATTTGAAAATTCATTCCATTGGGTTCTTGGAATATAAAATAACATTCAATATCGAATTATCCAGAGGCTAAGCGGAATTTCAATTGCAAAATGAGACTTTTCTATTCACAGCCTTTTTTTTCAACTCGATTTCTTCAATTTTAAGTTTGTTCAATATTTCTAATTTAAGGAATTGCAGAAAAAATAAATTGAAAAATTATATAAGCGTTTACCCAACGAGTTGGTGAATGATGTTTCTGGCGAGTGTGAAGTTTACAGCCCGAGCCGAAAGTGATAATGGCGACCAGACTCAACAAAAATATCATTTTTACCGTTAATGAGTTAAAATATTATTACGAAATTCCTGCGAAATCAAGTACTGTGAAGTGCTGCTGCGAATGATGGTGGACTAATGACCAGTTTACTATTATTCGGTAATTTAATATAAAAATATTATTGAAAAAAATGAAAATTTGCGTTAATGCCCATTGATTGTCAAATGACTATCTGAAGAACATAAATTAAAAAACATTCTCAGATAATAACCAACGGATCGAGGCATGCTTTGACTATCAGTTGACTATCAATTGATTATCAATTGACTATCAGTTGATTGCCCGGTGGCTTGGCGCAGTGTGTAAGTTCGTTGCCTCACATGCGAAAGGTTCCGAGTTCAAATCCCGGCCGGGTAGAATGGTGCGATCTAACCATTTAAAGTCTTGATCATTATCGTAGTATACTCTAACCGGGTCATGAACTTAAAAAACACCGAGACAAATGTTTGCATAATGTAATAATGAATGTCAGGTTCCATGAGAATGGATTGATTGCAAAAAAAAATCAAATCACATAGTTTTTTCGTGACCCAAGCAAATCCGTGCGCGTGCTCACACACACACACACGCCCACGCACACACATCGCCGTATTTCGCATTGAGATAATATGTAATTTATCAGAGAAAAAAAATTGTTGCTTGAATGTTTATCGATTTCGAAAAGACTAGTGAACTGCTGAGTCAATGTCTTCCAGAATTCCATAATTTGTGCGTTATATCAAGATTCATTGTTTCTAATAAAAAAAATTAAAATCGCATCGTTATGCACGGAGGAATAGTCTCATTTAGAAAAAAATGCAAATTTTCGATTTTTTTCCAGATATTTTTTGGAAAAAACTGGAGAAACGCTGAGACGATCGTTTCCATAATCTAGTCAGGTTCAAGTCACATGAAAATATAGCGATTAAAAAAAAAAGTCAAATCGCATCGTTTGTTCAAGAGAAATCGTGGCACAAAATTTTTGTCACAGACGTACGCACACACATACATCCACACATACAGACAGGTACCTGAAAAAGGTCAGAAGTGGTTCCAAAGGTCATGAAACGTGGAGAAATGCTTAAATTCCCATATTCGATTTTCGGGGTCATTACAATAACTTCCTCCCTTCGGGTCGGGAAGTTAATAAATATTCGAAACCCTTATATAATGTACCGACAACCTCCACAAATGAATCCCACTCCGTTGTTAGATCTCGATCTCAACGTCCACTAGTTAGTTTGTCCACTGACTCTCCAGCAGCCAAACTAAGACCTCGTCATCAGTGAGTCTATGTTCTCTCATTCGAAACCTCAGTTTTTTATATATTTCTTATATCGAGACGACAATATTTTAACCACAATTCTCTTTTCAAATAATATGAAATATTTCATCTATAATTCAATTGATTAGATTAGGACGATTACGCTTTTCTTTTTTCATTCGATTGAAATTAACCATCACATTTTCCTTTTTCCCCTCCGGGTCTTCTCCAGGACCTTCCTCTGGATTTTGGATTTTGCTGTTTCATTTTCTTTTTAATTAAACCATTGACAAAATCTTCTTCCGTCAAAACTTCTCAATAATTTTCCATTCTACTGAATGGAAAATTATGATTCTTATCAGTGTTCCCAATAATAAAAAAAAGTTAATAAACAAAAGTAAATGAAAAAAATAGTTAAAACCTGGGTGGATTATCTTTTGAATGTGATCTTGATTGTTTTTTTTATTTTGATAATCTGAAATGATCTCCGATTGGTATTCAGTTTTACATAGCCCTGGAGTCTCCAAAAATTATGATTGTACAAGCAAAAAAAAAAACGCTGAAAAAATGCTGAATATTTTCAAAGAGCGTTTTTGAATATTGGGAAATAAACCCAATAGGGAGGAAATTGAAAATTAATAATTTTATGTATCTAATGGTCGTTTGTTACCACGATAAATTATCCATTCACTATTTCCTCTCTATCGGACTTATTTCTTAATCTTTATTAAAAACGCTCTGCATGATGTTAAATCCAATAGAAATTGTGACATATTTTATATTATGAAGATGGAAAAACAATCGAGATAACGTTCTAAAGATAATCCACCCGGGCCTTAATAAAAAAAAAGTTTTTTTACTCTCTCACCCTCCCCTACAACTTACTGTACTGACGTGTTTTCTATAGAATTTCCTCGGCTCAAATTTTATAAGTTTTCTTCATTCTATTTTTCTTTACTTTTCATCAAGAAAATCAAACAAAAAAACTCAAAAAATTTACGCCGAAGAAATTCTACAGAAAGTATCTCAATAGAATAAGTTGTATAAAAAAATAGAATTCTATTGACTTTTTCTGTGGAATATTTTCTATTGAACATTTTAATAGAATCGGCCAAAAACGAAAAGAACGTTCAATAGAAATCCAATAAAATTGTCTAGCAAATTCGTTAGGTTTTTCTATTAAATTTTTTCGTACGTGACCCTCCCAAAGGTCAAAAAACACATTTACCACGAGTGTTGAACTCTATTTTGCATCACAATGGGTAGAAAAAAACATGGAAACATGTAGCGCATTTGCTCGAAAATTCGCTTGGTTTTTATTGAACTTTTATTGCAAATCCTTTAATCCTTTACCGATTCCATTGAAAAATTCTGTATTTTTTCTGTGCAGTTTCAATACAGATATTCACTAGGAAATATTCCATGGAAAAAATCAATGGATTTTGATCATTTTATCCAATTTACTCTATGGAGATATTTTCAGCAGCAATTCCTCGACGGTGCATTTTCATTTTATTAAAAAATTGAAGCAAAAAAACATGAAAACATGAAAACAGTCAAAACATGAAAACATTCAATTCGACGAATTATGCTAGAAACAATCTCAATTGAACAAGCTTAATAGAAAAATTCAAATCTATTGATTTTCACTGTAAAATGGACGTTTCTATTTCAAAAAGTACGCACGAAAGCTGCTAAATTTGTCAATACAGGGACCATAGTAATTCAATAAACGCTGTTCACCAGCAGATGTGGTAGGTTTTTTGTAGGAAATTTTTTCGTACGTGAAAAATTGAAGTCTACGGAGAAATCATTCAGAGAGATGCATAAAGAATTAATATAGGAATACAAAGTGGAACATTCGTCATCGTCTTAAAATCTCAATATCTTAGTACATAACCGACAGATGTTAAGAGTTGAAACTCATCACAAACGTTCCGCTTGCCTCCACTCTCACTTACTGAGTGGATATTATTGACATTTTTAGATATTATTGGATTTTTTTTCTCATTTTTCATTTTTTGGGAATTATTGTATAAATTTCCTAATTCTTAAGACGCTTCTTTGGCATTTTTGCTTGAAATCAGATTTAGCTCCAAGAACTTCACCATCAACCAATTATTCTATTCAAATTTATGACATGTTATCAGAGAATATGCAAATTATAAACTGTAAACCTTTAATAATTTTATTTTTGTCCTCATCTCCTGTAGAGTTCAAGGTTTACACCAGTACTGAGCACAACGTAATTCACTCCGGTGGAGTCCAAATCCGAGGCTTGAAAGCGAGTGGTATTTCCAGAAGAAAACCAGCAGGTGACCCAGTCCTAGAAACCTACAAATTTGTAGCCCATCGAGACTGGGCGGAGACTCCCCTGAAGGATGCAGTCCGCCTGGCCACCCATCTTTCCCTTGAGAATCACCTGGGAATCAAAGTGAAAACCCTAGAGTTCCTTCAAGTGGGTGAAAAATATCCCACCGAAGATCTCCTCTCCCTCCTTCTCGCAGACACCCTGGCAGACCTCCCAATGATTCAGGCAGACGTGAGCATCGTCACCCCTGAAAACCCCTTCGGAGAAGACGAACTCCCCCAGAATATCAGCATTACAGAGCCCAAGAAATTAAACTCTGAAACCAATGCTGTAATCCTGGCCGGTAGGAACCTCTTAGCTCCTGAAAAAAGCCCAATTCTTGCAGATCTCCTCTCTTCCCTGAAAGACGGTGCCTTCGTCATCACCCTAGAATCCTCATCTCCAGAAGACATCAATCTCTCTCTGAAGAAACACCAATTCAACATCATTCTAGAGAAACTCGTCAACAACACAAAATTCTTCCTCCTCAGAAAGATAGAAAGAATACCAAAAAATACGATCATAATCCAGGTATGTGGAATTAGTTACAGCAGAGGGTATTGTGGATAATAGTTTGCCATTATGAGACTTGAAACTGATTCAGTTCTGCAGGGATAAAATAAGAAAATTCAATAGAACTTCAAAATACAGGGATCTGAAAAGAAAGAAAATTTTCATGGGAGTCTCCTCTTTCGAGAAAAAAAACTTTCGTCAAGAAACTTTGTACTTGTCCGAAAGATGAGGGCAATAGATTCATGATAAGAGAGCGGCTTCTCAAATCAAGTTAAATGGTTTGCGCATTAAAATATTGTGGATTTAAGATTAAAGAACTATTGAACAACTTAATTCAATTAGACTTAGTTTGGGAAATTAATTTCTTGTTATAAACAAATTGTCCTCGTCTTTAGGACAAATCCAAGATTTATTGACGAAAATTTTTTTCTCTTAGTGTAAGATATTTGTTGTTAAATATTTTAGAGCCATGAGTTTCTTGAGACGTACTTATGAAAAAAATATTTTTCCTCAGTGTATTTCACAGAAAATTGAATTAATTGAAACCCATTATAACACGTAGCTCACGAAAAGTATCGGTGTAAGGGAAGTGGGTGTTGATCTGGGTTTAGTGTGCCACAGGAGAAACAGAATCGAAAAAAATACCTAGGTTTATTCTTTGGAATCTAACGGACATTTGCAGGAAAAAAACTTTAAGTCGGATGAAAATTACAGTGCAAGAAGCATTTCAAATCCAAAAACAAGAAAAACGACGTTTTTGCCTGACCTACGGGGTAAAATGGGTTCGGGTACGAAATTTTTCTTAGTTTTTCAGGTGCCCCATGATATATCAAAAGTCGCTCGACAGTTATTTTCATCAAGCGAAGACTTTCAAATTTTCCTTAGGTCCCTCTTTTAATGAGATATGGGAGGCTCAAGCTTATTCTCAAAGTTCCTCTTTCCACTATCTTCCATTACGCTTCATTCACTTTATTCAGGACAAAATGATAACAATTCACCATTTCCCCAGGTAAACAACGAGGAATTCAGCTGGGTAAATAGCCTGAAAGCAGCCCTAAAAGCTGAGGTGGAGCACGAGACTTCCGGTTCCTGCAGAGTCCTGCTGATAAGTGACGTAACCTTTGAGAATGGTCTCCTGGGTCTTGTAAATTGTCTTCGAAAGGAACCGGGTGGTGAAATCGTCCGAGGAGTTCTCCTCCAGGACCCCAAATCCCCCGAATTCTCCACCCAGAATCCCCTCTACGCGGATCACCTCAAACTCGACCTAGTCATCAACGTCCTGCGATCAAAGAAAACTTGGGGATCCTACAGACACCATCACCTGCCCTCACCACAGCCCCGACCTGTGCATCATGCCTGGGCGAATCAACTCGTCAAAGGTGACCTCAACTCCTTCGCCTGGATGGAGGGCCCCATAACTCCTGAGTACAAAAACCCAGAGCTCGTGAGTGTTGTCTACTCATCACTGAACTTCAGAGATATCATGATGGCGACAGGCAAATTATCAACTGAAATTGCTGATAAAACTCGAAGTGCATCAGAGTGTGTCCTTGGGTTTGAATTCGCTGGAATAACACAGGATGGTCGCAGAGTGATGGGTCTGCTGAACACTCATCGAGCAATAACGAATTATCTAGTCAATGACCCAACACTCACCTGGGAGGTTCCAGATTGTTGGACATTGGCAGAGGCTGCAACGATTCCTTGCGTCTACGCCACCTGTTACTATGCTTTTTACACAACTGGAGGTATCAAGAAGGACATGAAGGTGCTGATTCACGCTGGATCTGGTGGCGTTGGACAAGCAGCTATCACTCTTGCTCTTTGGGTGGGCTGTGAGGTCTTCACTACTGTTGGAACTGCAGAGAAGAGAGCATTCATTAAGAAGACTTTCCCACAAATCTCGGAAGATCATATTGGAAATTCCAGAGATACCAGTTTCGAGCAGATGGTGATGGAGCAGACAGATGGACGAGGGGTGGACATTGTCCTGAATTCATTGGCTGATGATAAGCTTCAGGCATCGGTCAGGTGTCTGGCTGATGGGGGTAGGTTCTTGGAGATTGGAAAGTTCGATATGGTTAATGATAGTCCACTGGGAATGGCTATTTTCCTGAAGGAAATCAGTTTCCATGGGGTGTTACTGGATAGACTGTTCAATGCTCCTCCGGAGAAGAAGATGGAGGTCAATAGGATGATGCAGGCTGGGCTCAATGCTGGAGCTATCAAGCCGCTTAATATGACCATTTTCGAACGAGATCAGATCGAACCTGCTTTCAGGTACATGGCTGCTGGGAAACATATTGGAAAGGTAAGAGCGAAACCGAGTGGTTGAATAATTCAATCATTACTGAAGTCATTTTGATAATTAACGATAGTAATTCTAAGCCTACACGCTGTGATTTATCGGCACTACTAATTATTTGATTTCGTGATCACATTGCGAGATCAAATAATTCCAGGCTACACCCAGAAAAATGGTTTATTTGAATCAAAGAAATTGTTTCTTTGACTCTAACAGAGCATTTATTGGATTCAAATAAAGTTTATTTAATTCAAATAAATTATTTCTCCGGGTGTATTATTGATTAATTTAAACCTCTTTGAGATATTCGCAAAAAGATACGTCTAGGCTGGTATGAACGCGTAACAGTCGCCATATTATTAAAATTTATGAATTATCACGACGCGGTGTTTTCCACTTCATACTCCACAGTGGGGGTGAGCGATGTTGATTTCAATGGAATGGAATAACGTGAGTCCAAAAAAACAACTATTGATGAAGGCCTGTGCAAAAAGTTATTGCTCGATAAATGTCGCAAGATGGATTGATATAGGAATAACAATCCAAATAAAGTGCGGTAGGTGATAGATAACCCGTAGATGGTCAATAGAAATTTTCAATGCAAAATATTTAACAAAAAGAATCACTAGATTTTTATTTTATTGTAGAAATTTTTCGATATCCATTTTCTGAGTTTTTTCACTCTATTTTTTCCCTTTCATTACGAAATTCAAGCCAAAAAACTGTAAAAATTTGAGTCGAGACATTTTTAAACAAATATCACCTGAATCAATTGTATAGAATTGAGTCTTTCGACGTTTTGTAAGGTGTCCAAGTTATAAAATTCTTATCGACAATTTCTGATCTCCGGTTATTGACCTCTGGATGTCGAATATCGATGCAATGTTTACATAACACACACGGAAAAATTTAATAGAAAAACCTAAAGAATTCGCTAGACAATTCTATTGAAATGTTCAATATAGAAAATATTCTATTGAAAAAGTCAATAGAATTCGATTTTTCTATATGACTTATGGTATTGAAATATTTTCTATAGCATTTTCTTGGCTCGAATTTCCCAAGTTTTTTGCCATTCTATTTTTCTTTTTTTTCATAAAGGAAATCATACAAAAAAACTTAGAAAATTTAAGCCAAGGAAATTCTATAGAAAATATCTCAACAGAAAAAGATGCACAAAAAAATTGAAATCTATCGATTTTTTCTACGAAATATTTTCTATTCAACATGTCAATAGAGTCAGCCAAAAACTAATAAAAACTACAATAGAAATCCAATAGAATTGCCTAGCGAATGCGCTAGGTTTTTCTATGAAATTTTTTCCTGCGTGAAATTTCAACTCTGACACTTTCTGCCAAAATTGACAACTTTGTCAGGTGCTTCACATGATTTTACTGATTTTCTGACAAAAAATGTGACAATCGAGTTATTTTGAGAAAAATTTGACATACAAATGTAGTTAATGGTAAATTGTTCCATCAGAGAAAGGTAAATTTGTTTAAATTTTTTATATACAATATCTTTTTTTTGACCATCTTGAAAAAACTGGTAGGAAAGCTGCGGAGTCTTTTAATATAATCAGTGAAAATCTAATAGCTGTTTCAATCGAATATTGGTGTATTAATTGTTCATTTTTATTGGAGTAGTCATATAGGAATTCAACAGAATTTGCTTGCGAAAACGCCATGCTTTTCTATGTAATTATTTACTAAGTGAGCACATTGTCAAAAAATTGATCTAATCCCATCAATTTCCTTATTTTTCTGTTAAAGAGAGATGAATCCCATTGTCGTTCGTAATTACAGGTAATTCTCAAAATTCAAGATGAAAACAAGTTAAACCTTCCTATGCCAGCCCTCCCCATCTACCAGTGTATCACAGATCGTTCCTACCTAATCCTCGGAGGACTTGGAGGCTTCGGTTTGGAGTTAGCTGACTGGCTGGTTCTTCGGGGCGCTAAAAACCTGATCCTCACATCTCGCACAGGAATCAAGGACGGTTATCAACGAATGAGAATAAAGCTCTGGCAGAGTTACGGCGCGAAAATTACGATAATCTCTGGAAAAGACGCATCAAACCCAAAAGACTGTGAGGAGATTCTCGCGATGGCATCGAAACAAGCCCCAGTGGATGCGATTTTCAATCTCGCAGTTGTCCTCAAGGACAGCCTCTGGGAAAATCAAACACCGGAGGCATTTGAAGAGTCCTTCAAAGCCAAAGCTTGGAGTACAAGACATCTTGATAAACTTTCTAGACGATTATGTCCAAAACTTCGACATTTCGTTGTCTTTTCTTCAGTTTCTTGTGGGCGCGGCAATGCAGGACAATCAAACTATGGAATGTCCAATTCAGTTATGGAAAGAATCTGTGAGAGACGAGCTGCTGAGGGTCTTCCAGCACTTGCAATCCAGTGGGGAGCTGTTGGAGACGTTGGTCTCGTCGCAGACATGCAGGATAACGATAAAGAGCTTGTGATCGGAGGTACCCTCCAGCAAAGGATAACATCCTGTCTTCATGAACTCGATGGTTTCCTCAATCAAAGCTCTCCAATTGTTGCAAGCATGGTCGTTGCTGAAAAGAGAGCAGGTGGCTCTGGTTGCCTCAATATTGTCGACACTGTACTTAATATCATGGGTCTTAAAGACTTGAAGTCAGTTGGTGTACATACATCACTAGCTGAGCTTGGTATGGACTCTATGATGGCTGTGGAAATTAGGCAAACTTTGGAGCGTGAGTTTGAGATATTCCTGACTGCGCAGGATATTCGTGGACTAAACTTTGCCAAATTGATTGAAATGAATTCGAAGGACCTTGAACTGAAGAAGAAGACTATAAAGGTGGCGGGAGACGAGGTACCTATGGGAATCAAATTACTGGTTAGGCTGTTAGGAGAAGATGAAACGATGAAGGAAGTGTGCATGAAGCTATTGACGAAGGAGGAGAGTGGAAGGCAGGAGGTGTTCATGATTCCAGGTATTGAGGGATGTGGTGCTGTATTTTCGAATCTTGCTGGCAAGATTAGGGCGCCGGCTAGTTGTTTACAGTTGAATAATATGGACACACAATACCGCTCTATTCCGGAAATGGCGGATCAATTGTTACCTGTAAGTATTCTGCTGTTTTTAAAGTAGAATGAAAACACTTCGAAGTTAAAACTCCCTGAAAAATTGTTCACTAAAAACGAGATTTTATATAGCTTTCCATATCTTGTGGCATCACAGGATATTGTTGGGTAGGAATTTGGAGCAGGTAGAAGAGGAGACCGGATGATTCCCGATATTAGCTTACAAGAAAAAACTCCTGAAAAAATGGAAAATCCCAGACCGGTAATAGAATCTTGGACCGTCTAATAACGAGTCGGGTCCTCTTTCCGACTGAGCTATCCGGCTCCTAGCCAGTTCTTCATTTCAAATTTCTTCTACATTTTTCACTAAAGACAGTAGTTTATATCGCGTTCTACTTCTTGTGATGTTACAAGATATTGTTGAATAGGATTTTAGAGGAGATAAGAGGGGAACCAAAGTGACTCTCCATGTTAGTTTACAAGAAAAATCTACTGAAAAGACCTTCCGCTTACGCGTCGGAAAGTTGAAATTTTAACATCATCATAAAATATTTTTCAGTACATCTTGAAAAGGAATCAAGGAAGACGAAACTTCGTCCTCGTTGGATACTCATACGGATCAATCGTCGCGATTGAATTAGCAAGAAGATTAGAAGCAGAAGCTTACACTGGAAAATTGATACTCATCGATGGTGCACCACTCTTTATGAAAGCCATCAAAGATCAGCAATTAGGATCGGAGAATGACAATGATCTTCAGACGAATATTCTCGTTGGAATCGCAGACATTGCTGCGCCTGAGGACAGTGGAGATCTGTTGGTGGAACTCACGAAGTGCAAATCTTGGGAGAAGAAATTAGACCTATTCATGGCACGTGTACAACCTGATGCTTTAGGGATTTCAACTGAGCAGCGAAGAAACATTTGCACTTGTATTTATAATCGTCTGCTCGCTCTTGCTAATTATGATAATTCTAGTCTTCCACCACTCAGAACTGCAATCACTCTTCTGAAACCTACTATTGAGACTTTGAAGAATTTATCTGCAGATTATGATCTCAGCAAGGTATACTCATCGATTTTTTAAAGAATTTCTTTGTCGATTTGTCCTCTATGAATGATTCATTGAGATTCATTCTGTATTCGTTTCTATTCATTTTTCTTAGATAACAAAGGAAAAAGTGGAGTGTCATGTACTTGACGGAAATCACGTTACAATACTCGATAATCCGAAGGTAATATCTGCAATAAACGGAGAGCCACTCGAAGATGCGGCGGCATTTAAAGCTAGCATTATGGAAGATGGAAAAATCCTCACCCCTATCTACGATGCAAATCGTGGAAAATCAGCTAGTTAGAAAGGAATAATCATTATTTACTGATCCATACTTCATAAAAACTTCCTTATTTTTCTGTCCTTTGAGTCAGTGGACATCGTTTCTCAATTACTTCGTAGTTTGCACAATTTCGAATATGTCATTCATTCATGCCTTCCCTTCATAAATTAATAAGTTGGAAACTAGTATAAGTGTCAATGATCTATTCCTTCCTTCGAATCCTTATAAAAATGGAAAAATAAAGGAATAAGTGTCGCGAATACTACAGAGATAATGGTTTTCAGTTTCTTTTTTGTTTAGGTTTATTTTCGAATTAATACTCAAAGCCTCATGTTCTGCATCCCTCACATAATTCTAAAATCTTCTTATGGTGTGAAATTACTGAGTGTGAAAAGCACTCATTGGCAATTCTGGATCAAACAATAATCAAGTATTGTTATTATTATCATTACTATTATTATTATTTACTCTTTAATGAGATCGCCGAACAGTTTTCGAAGGTTCCGACTTCTCATCATGAAAAGTTCGACCAAAAAAAAGGTGAAAATAGAGGTTTGAGAAAGAGGTTAGAGAGAACGTCAAACGATTCATCGAGAATATATAAATATATGTATATGATGGTAATCTAGTTTTTTCATTTCCCTTGAGATATTTGATCATCGGCCATTTCCATTAGCAAATGTTGTTGTTTTATTGAACACGAAAAAATTCTCGGAAAATCCGATTTTACGTACATTGATAGAACAATTTAGTTGCTGTTAACATGGCTTCTTAACTATTAACACCATTCGTTGATAGTTATCGAATGATGTTAATAGTGTTGCGATCTCTGGGTTATTGGGTAGACGAAAGTCAGTGACAAAAGGTGGCCCCGAAAACTGTCCTGACCGTGACCAATTACAATGGGTAGAGACCGGGAAACAGGATGGGATCGGATTGCATGGGATAACGCACTAGGGTGCACTATGGTGGATTGCGCGGGAGTCAGAATGAAGGTCACGTAAAGAGAAAGAACCCCTCCTAATGCCATAAAAGAAATGTTTTTATTAGTGATAAAAAGAGTTTGACTACAATGATCCCAAGATAAAACCGCGAATAAAAGGAGAATTTGGAGGTTCAGAAATGAAAATAAATGAAAAGTAGAAGAAAAATAAGTGGATAACGAATTGGCATTAAACTTACAGTTGTTGATTAAATAAAATTAGGGTGGGTGTGATCACTCAGTCACGGTGATGTTGGATTCTGACGACTCCTACTAGCGTGAACAAGGAATGATTTTGATGACCAGTAGGGTTGATGGGTGACTCTCTATGACGATTCGGCCCCGAAGAGACGATCAGGTCATTGACCTTAGTATTTTAACACTCCAAATGGATAACTGGCTCGAACCGATGATTTACGACGGGAGTTTTCACTCGTCCGGTGAAAAAACGGGTATAACGGAAGTTCGACTACCTGGGCTTGTACGAAAGAATATCCCAAATGCAATAGTGAGATCCCTCTATAATTTTCTGCTTCATTCTCATCCCCCCCTTGTGATGACTACAAAGATTCTTGTCACTTGCCATCCCTTTATCAGTACCCCTGATCCCACCCCTTCTGCACAACCTTCCATAACTGATCCTTTCAGTTATCAGGCAGATTCTTGAGAAATTCCCCAGTAATCCCATCACCTCCCGCAGCTTTCCTTTTTTTCAAGGCTTTCAGAGCTCCACAGAATTTTAGATATGTAATGTCTCGGTCAAGCTCCTCTACCTCGACCCATTATTCTCATCCTTCCCAGTCCCTGTCTTTCATCCCTAGTGATGTTGGTGCCCCCAGAAGCTTTGCCATTTGGTTCAGCCGACGTTCGTCAGAGATGGAGACTCCTTTCCTCGCCTCATGAAGCCAACAGTCATTTATTGCTTTCCAAAGCTCGCCCATGTCCCTACTTGCTTGTATCCTAGTTTTCTTCGCCTCTGCGATTTCTCGCAATTTATCTTTGACCATTTGTTTCATTTTCGCTCTTTCCATCTGGAATTTGATCCTGTCCCCAACTTCATGGCTGCGAAGATAGCGTCTGGTCTGAGTAGGCTGAAGACAATGCCCCTTCGGATTTTATATTCGTCCCTAACCACAAAGGCCTATCCCTCGGACGTCCCTTCCCCACCGTCCTAATCATCCCTGTTTCTTCCGCCGCCTTGCGGATTGTGGACTTGATCCTTTCCTAGCGGGCATTAATATCTTCCCACTCCTCTGAGTTAATTTGCTCATTTCCTAAGAGGTCCTGATAACTTTCACTAAACACTGGTCTCCATATGAGTTTGACCTAGGGATGTGAAATGACCGTCATTTTTCCATTCGGTCAGGTCATGCAAAATTGACCGTTTTCTGACCATTTTCTGACACCGAGATAATTTCCCATGTAAAATGACCGTCATGAACAACCAGCGTAAAAAATTTGAGAAAATGACCAAAATTCCTCTATATAGATGCAAATTGACGGTCATTTTATTTTTGGTAATTTCTTTGGTCAGATTTTTGGTTATTTTATTTCATTAGTTAGGAATTGAATCGCATTTCATAATTTAAAATTAATGTTTATTGGATCGAATTACAAAACAATCATAAATTTGATACTCGAGTTCACTCATGATCAACTCATGAACTTAATAAACGTCAACAAAATTAATTAAATATATATCTCTGTATATATTATGTTTTTGGTCAAAAACTTCATATTAAATTAGGAGGATGCTGGATGAGGCCCGTCTTTAGTCCTTCTCTCCTTAATTCTCATAATTGCCACCGGCTCCCTCATCTAGTTCGCTCAGCTCTTCGCCTGAATTACTTGCTGAACGAATTTAGTTATCTAGTATCGCATAGACCCCTAGTGGCGACGTAGGGTCTCTATGACCGCCAGTAACTTTGCCGACACCGAGTAACTGAATAAAAATTTCTGTGTGATCTATAGTATAGATGAGAATTGACCGTCAGAATTGAATTGATCATTTTTTGAATTCCTGACCGAATCGTCAGTATCGTCAGTTATGGTACTGATGTGTTTGGGCTCATGGTGATGTCCCCTTGTCGTCGACATTACCATGTCGTTTATGGACATGGTAATTACCCGCCATGAACGAGGTAATTGACCGTCATTTGACCGGTAATTTTTGTCACTCACATCCCTAGTTTGATCTCATCTACTTTAGACTTCCCCGACCCCTTTTCCTCCGTTGCCTGTTCCGGCGCTTCAGGTACCGTTCCATTGGATCCCCGCAATGTTAAGGCAACCCCAGGTGGTCGGAGTCAATTGTAGGCCACATATTAATTTCCCCCGAAACGGACGGATCCCCTTCATGCAGAACTAGATCAAGCACTGAACCGTCGACATCATCCCGATTCTTAACGGAGGTGATAGCCCCGTCCCAGTCTCCGCTGATAGTACTATTAGCCAGCACTAGAACGTCAGTATCACAGAATTCTACCAGTTTCCTCCCTTCCCAAAGTACTTTCTTATCCTGGGATCTCTGTTCGAAACGCTGTTCCCCGTTCCCCGCTTGCACCGTGCCCACTCTGGCGTTCATCTTCCATAACTATAATGGATTCCCCTAATTCTCTACCCTCATCTATTTCACCACTTATTTCTTTCAATATTTGGTCAATCCCAACATTATTATACCCTGCAAGCAGTATACGTTTCCTACACCCTTCAGTTAACTTAATTTCAGATATGACTGCCACATTAGACCATTTCTTTACTTTGACGAGACCGAACGCGCGCTACGGCGCGCTGTAATTGCAATCATAATTGAAAATTTCAAAATTAAATTAATCATGAATTAATTAGCATAACGGACTAGCGAGGTATAGATAGTTATCGACTTTAAGTGTATGTTCTTTTTAGAATAGGATATTGCTCCCTAGAGTGTTCCTGGTCCCCACTAAAATCTACTGATGTGTCCATGTGACGTCGTTCGTGATACTTTTCAACCTCGCCATCAGGTCTTCCTGTTTGGATTTGACTACATGGGTTTCTAACAGCACTATAATATCAAAATTAGCAATATCCTTGCAAACCCTCCTTAATTTATCCCCTTTAAGCCCAGCAACATTCCAGCAGGTGGCCTTAATGAGTGTGTTTCCCCCCTCTTCACCTGCTAGTCAATTATTATTCCTATCAATACTACGGATGGAGATCCTTTCACCATCATTTACTCCTCATCCCTCAGCTCGTCCTTCCTTGATGACCAGCTCTGCTCGATCCTTGTCCTATTTATACTTGGCGTTGCCCAGCCACAGATGCCCTGCTGGAAACTCAGGACTCTCGCCGGTCTTCCCAGCTGCTTCGCACCATCAGCCGGCGCTTGTAGGTACTCAGCTACTTCCACCTCCCTCCAGGTTAAATCGTCGTCCCGCTCAATTCCCCGTTTTTCCCATTTCAAAAGGCGCTCTCTTCACCAGCGTACCCTTCTGGGAATGAGGAGCCAGTGTGAAGACGAAGTCCCAGGTGGGCAGTGTCTGAATAGCCAGTACATTGATCTTTAGACCGGTGTTACCTCGGACCAGGGTAGCGAAGTCTACCGCTTGCGTTTCCGAAAATGGGTTCATTAGCCTCTTCACCACCACGTTGTCTCGTCTCTTCTTTCTTTTATTATTTTCGTACTTCAGCTCCCCCTTACTGAACTTCTCTGGTGCTCCCTGCCTCACGGCGAGATCCTCCAGGGGGGCATTGTACCTCTTCTGTATAGACTCGTGTGGTGTCTGAGGGACCCTTCCCTGGTTCCCAAAATTTCCAACAAAATTGCTATTGTCGTTCCTTCTCATTGGGCTCTTTCCCTGCTGTGGAGATGGTAGATCCGAAGTTATCTTCAGCGTGCAAATTGCTGTGGTCCTGTCCCCTACCATCATTATTATTAGTATCTTAACTCTGCTCCACAATCCCATCCACGCCCCTGCCAAATGTTGAGTCACTCCTTCTAGAGGACTCTGTCAGTATCGAAACTCTCCTAATTTCTCCTAATCTCTAGAGACAGTTGCAAGTCCTTCCTCACGTCATCAAAGCCGTATGACACCCATTATCCCATAGTTTCTACTGACTCACTGATTTTCTCCACTCTGTCCAGGATATCACTTAGCACATCATGCAGTCTTGTGTCGAACATGTCAGATTTCCCGATTGGGGTTCTTTCCCTAGTCATCAACGTCTTCAGCATTTCCTCAATGCTGTCCAGCTTTTTGTTCAACTCTTGGTCGCCCTCTATTCTGCATGGTTCACACCAATTTTTACAGGACTGGCATTCATGGCTCTCCTTTGTGGCACTGATTCTGCTCATTTCTGTCTCCGCTTGTTAATGACGCTACATTTCCTTCACCAGTCTTTTCACCAGTTTGTCTACATGTTACTTGACGCTCTGTAACACTCCTCCCCTCTTCCAGACTGCTCTGATGTTCCCCAAGTCCTACCTCCCCACTTCCATCCTGTCATCAGCACTGCACGCTCTCGTCAAAGAGGCTGGGTCATTCACATTTTCCTCCTGATTTTCCTGGTGAACTTCTCAGCTTTCGCCTCGGAGAGCTGAGACTTCTCTTTCCTCTGAGGGGTGTGTGGGTAATTTTCCTACTGTTAGTTAAGAGATTTACCT